TTTATGTTATTGTTTGTTTGTGTTTGTTGTAAAAAATAAAAAATTTATTAAAAAAAAAATACATACATACATACATATATACATACATACATACATGCAGGAGTGCAAACTACATGCCATACCAGAAGCTAAATTCTGCCAGGTGAATGCCAACAGCCTTCAATCTAGCCAGAGCACACATGCACTTTCAAATAAATGAATAAATGATAAACAAACAAACAAATGCAAGAATGCAAACTATATTCTACAGCAAAAGCTAAATTCTGCCATTTATATCAATGATGCAAGCTGAATAAGGTGCATGCTTTTCCTCATATCACAACTTAACTATGATCCTTACATAGACTTGGTGGCAGGTAGCATCATGCTGGTAAGATCCTTTCCCCAGTTGCATAAAACCCAACTTAGTCATCTTTGTGGCTTTTTATCCACACTGCTTAGGCAACATTTCCCAAGAGAAGGGCTTGAAAACCAAAGGTCTGACCACACAAGTTTGCCTTCTGTCCTCGCCATCACATATTGACAAAAGGAAGGGGTAGGGGTGAGGGGAAGGAAAGGAAAGGAAGTCCATTTTACCTGGTATCCAGTAAACTTGACACCGGGGTTGTTTTCTATTTCCCACAGGCCTTCATTAAACCCTTTTCGTTTGTTTGATTTTCCAAACTTGTCTTTATACTCTTTGTAAGGGAAGAGGTCTTTAGGCCCCAAAAATGCACTGTATTTGAATAAAGGAAATGGTCAAATGATAGAGCGAATTATAAGGCATCATTCATTACCTGGAGAAAAAATGGCATTAAATCCCCTTCAGTTGGATAGACTCTGACTGTGGCTCAGTTCAGATATTACATCAAACCCTGGTGGGTGAACTCCACTTAATCCCTGGTTAGAACTTTGAAGGATAAGCCATAAGGGGAAAAAAAATAAATAAATCTGCCACTAGTTTTCTTTTCCCCTGTTCAAAAACCACAGTAAACCAGCTTTCCCCTACTTTGCACCCTCCAGTTGTATTCTGTGACCCCCAGCCAGCATGGCCATGTTGAGTGGGAAATTCTGGGGGATTTATAATCTCAGCAGATACGAGGACACCACTCTGGAGAAGACCGAAGGAAACCTAACCATATTAGAATGCTAGTGGGATGGAAAGGTAGACTCACACAAGCTGAGGCTGATTCCTGGTGAGTACATGAGCACATTCTTGTAGGGTTTTTTGAAAATAATATTAAAGTGATTTGCCACTGCTTTCTTTCAGTTACAGACATGGGATTCCCTGGTGATCTATCATTCAAGTACCAACAAGACAAGAGTTGAGATTAGCCAACATTCTCCTCTTCTGTGATTCCAATTTGCAAGTGGGGACAATCTTTGAGAGTAAAGCTTATCTACATAACCAACATTGCCCTAGGCTAAGTCCACAAAGAGGGCCCATGTTCCCTACAGCAGCATCTCAATTAGCCCTGGGGGCTTCCTGCTTACCAGTTTTTTTTTTTTTAAAAAAAATCCATTTACATAATTGCTAACTGCTGGTATAAGACAATCAAAATTGGCCCTGAAGTTGAGCTCCCTGTGTCACCCCATTAACATAGGATGGGGAATGACTTGGTCTAGTACTTGCTATTGTAGACGCTGTTGAATTGCAAGACATTTTTGGTAGGACATATACCTCAGTTTATCCCAGAGTTTCACAAATCATGTGTAGAGGACATGCATTGATCCCACATTTTGGGTTACTGCATAATTTGTTCATTAGCTCCTGTGGCGTCATTTGGCCCCAGTCTTCTTTGTTGTTAATTCATTTCTCTGTTGTCACCAGCCTGTGTTACTGAATGACTGGCATCTTAGCTGTTACCCGAGAGTGCTAAAAATGCAGAACATATGCTCCAACAGCCTGCAGACAAATTGTGCTCTCATCAACCCTAACAGAGAGAAATGCATTTCCTAAATATAAAGGTTATATGTGTTACTCATGGTTTCTTTTCCTGTAAACAACCTGCAGTTCTTTCATGGTTAAAAGTTTAGGAGGAGCTGCCCTCCTGTGGTGAAGACACAGAAGGCACTTGCCAACTTACTGCAACATGTGGGTCCATCCCATAACATTGCATTCACGTTCTAATCTTGGCTAGGAAGGCACTGCAAATTTCCTTGACACTCTGCCCTTATGCTGTGGTTATTCAACAGGGAGGAGAATGCCATCTTTACATATTTAGAGGCACTCTCTTCTTTATACACTTTTAGAAGGCAGAAACCTCCTAGTTAGAAAAGTATTTAATAGCTCATATGCCCCAACATCTTAGAAGAGCTTTTTCAAGAGCTCGCTTTGAACAACTAGACTCCATGGTAAGATATGGGAGTTCCATTTGAAGAAAGACTGCGTATTTGTGGTGCGCCAGCTGTTGAAGACATCGCATATATCCTCTTTGATTGCAAACTATATTCAACAGAAAGGACTTAGATTCCTATTTAAAAACTAAAAAATACTTTTACCTTTTGCAAGGAACGAACCTACATATCACTAGTAAGACTGCACTCTTTATATCAAAGGTGATTTTGAAGAGGACAGACTATTTAGATCAGATTGGGGTTAACTGTAGGGGTGACGACTTATTATGAATTTGTTTTACTGTTTTTGTTGTATTTACTTGCATACTTGTATTGGTTTTCTACTTCTGATATGGTCAGATGACCAAATCAATAAAGTTTTTGTTGTTGTTGTAGAAGACAGAAAAGGGGGAAGCAATCCCCATCTTCAGTCAAAAATCATTGTCTAAGTGTATGACTTGGTTGCATATGTAGATTTTCTCCAACTCTGGTTAAATCAATCCTCCGGCATGCGATCCAGCTGGTTTCTCCTCCTCCAAGGGAAACCAGGATCTGACGTACCCTGAAGGAGATGTGTGTTGATTTATGCTAGTTGTTTATTCTCACATGAAGTTAGGGATAGTGGGAGCTGCAGGGAAGCAACATTTGGAGAGCCTCAAGTTTGCACTCCTGTTTAGTGTTGTTCCCTCTCCAACTCAGGATCATTCACTAGAACTTATTCTTGGCATCTTGTGGGTTGTTTGGGATAATACATTCTGCTGAATCTCTTCAGCTGCAGATCAAAGATGGAACATACAGGCAGCACAGCCTGGTTTACTCAACAGGGCCTGTGAGAATTTCTTTATGGTTATGTGAGACATTAGAATGATGTTTCTTCAGAAGGGGCAGCTGAGAAATATCCCACCTTCAAGATCAATCTAGGCAACTTCCAGATGTGAGGACTTCGATGCCCAGAATCCCCCAGCTTCTATAGCCATTGCTGAGAAGTCTGGTAAGGCTGGCACCTAGAGTCTGCCAAGGCTGAGGAAGGCTGCAATAGTTCAATCAAAATTACAATATCTAGTCTTGACGGTATCGTGATTGGTGAGCTGTGTTTATTTGGTGACTCATAAGACCCAGTCCACTCTCACCAATCAAGTCCTGCATGAAAGTGTCTCCAAAACCGCTGCCAAGGAAACAGTGGTGACTCCGCAGGCCGAGAACCAAAGCAAAGCCATCAATGCTCCAGAAAGCAGAACTGCGGTTGACGCAGTACTCAAGGGCTGTCCCGTCTCTGACCTTTTCCTTTATCAGCAAGTTATTTTTATGACAGACTATGTAAGGGTTGCTTTCGCACTCAACGTTTGTATTGCTGTACTTTATAGGAGGAGAGTCGTGTTAGTCTATGGTGGCAAAAATGAGGAGTCTGGTAGCATCTCTTCTGACTAACAAATCTTATTAAAAGGCAGAAGCTTGCATGACCTTCAGCTCACTCCATCAGATGCAATCAGATTGCTGTAAATGCATGCTTTTTCCTTAAGTAATGGAAGTGACCAAGATCTTTCTACACTGTTTATTTAAAGTCTTATTCAATCCCCCACCCCCCACCATGAGTTAAATTTCCTGGATCTGAAGGTCCTACCCGCTGAATTAATGCATAACCTCTTGATTGCTCTCTGTCTTTTCAGATGAGGAGGGGAGCAGAAGGGCTATAATTACGGGTTTCCTTGCATTATTTTTGCTTTTCATATGTTATCATAAAAAATGAAAAGCGGAAAATACTGTAATTACAGGAAACAGGTCATTAAAACCTCCCCCTTTTTGGAAGAGAGGTGACCTGGTGACAATTAAGAAAAGATTATTCAAGGGGGCAATTAGACAGTGAATAACCATAACCCCCCCCCCAAACACTTAGTAAAGAGCAACATGAACTCTTGCTGCAGCTGCAATCCAGTCTAATATTGCAGCAAAGAAGAAATCTTCGTAAGCTTGCAGATCTGCAAAATATTTTCGAATTTGAAATGTTTCAAGCTCGTTTGTGTTCAAAACAGCTGTTGCCATTTCTGATGGTTTTCCAATTAGACTGGAAGGATTCCAAGCTCAAAACAACCCTGTTGGGAGTTTGGACACCTTCCAGGGTGATCAGAACATCTCCAATAATACCAGAAGAGCCCCTTTCTACTTTGGAAGACATTAGGATGTGCAGAAAGTACTCAAAATGTTTCGCACATCCTAATATGAAGTAGATGCTTAAACGTCAGAGGCCCCCCAAAGACTACAGAACTTATTCACTTACGTTTCATGAGTCCCAAAAAAGAAGATTGGATATTTATTTGCTGGAGGCTTCACAGCTCCCTCAGGGAGTTCATCGATCTGTCAGTCAAAGAGAAAAAATGATCCATCAACAAATGTCCATTGAGTTCGATGATTAAAAAAAAAAAAGTAATCCCACCATTCAAAGAGCATAGAGCAATGGACAATGGGAAGGACTATTTAGGTGCGGGTTCAGTGTATTTTCAGGCACTAGACACTGAGATTGAGAGCTGGTTTGGTATAGCAGCGAAGGTGCTGGGCTAAAAACTGGGAGACTGTGAGTTCTAGTCCTTTCTTAGGCATGAAAGCCAGGTGGGCGACTTTGGACCCGTCCCTCTCAACCCACCTCACAAGGATGTTGTTGTGGGGAAAACAGAAAGTGGGAGAACCAGGTTCTGAATGCCACCTTCGGCTGACCCAAAAACAAAGGTGGGATAAAAATGGAATAAATAAGAAACTTTCTGTTACAATATTCTACCCTAAAACAATGAAGGGCATTCCTGGAGTCCCTGCCATGGGTGTTTCTTGACCTGGTCTACTTCGCAGGGTTAGCATCCATCTTGAAAGCCTGTCCATGTTTCTCTCTGCCCCATCTAAACAAAACCAAGGCGGGATTATTTTTAAGTTTCCTTCTCATGCTTCCCTCTTTCTCAGCACAGTGTGATCTTTTTCTCAAAATTCCTTCTTAACAGCTCACCAAAGTCAGCTCCACACCCTTCACAAGGGTAGGGCTTCAATGGCATGATCATAGCCACCATCCTGTCCTCTCTGAACCCCGCTCCAGCCATCCCTGCTGTGAGCAGGCCTTTTCTTGATGTCTTAATAGGATGGGCAGATTCTGCTTGGATACAGGGGTCCTTAAGGAACCTATATAGACCAGTGTTTTTCAAACTTGGCGACTTGAAGATGTGTGGACTTCAACTC